ATTGTTTGTATGTAAGAAAAAAAACTGTTCTTTACCTTTTTCATAAAAATCATGTGATTCCTGCCTTGCTGCACACATTATCTTCACAACAAAGAAAGGCATGGCAACTTCACGATGGGATACTTTTTTCAGCATAAAATAGAAATCCTCAGGTGTTTTAGGCAGCAAGTAGTTCTTTCCACCACTGGCCATCTCACTCAAGAAATCACTCAGTTTTGGTGCATTTATTCCTGCAGGACACATGAGTACCAGTGAAGATAGCAAAAAAGAATATCGTACAGCAAAGACACCAGCCACAAATCCACCCATTGATAGACCCACCAAGTGAAACTTTCTTTTATTTAGCCCAATAGCCACCACAAACTGAAAAGAAACATTCTACCAGTAAGAAAATAAGGTAACTATACTGTATATTTTATACTGATACACAGTAACTTTGTTATACTTAACAATTAGATTATGAGCTTGAGATTTCTACGAGGTGATAGTTCATGAAGCCGAAGGCGGAATCAACTATCGCCATCACCTCATAGAAATCAAGAGCGAATAATCTACTTGTTTTAGTAGAATTCTAACTGAAATTGAGAATTTGCACGGACTGAATTAATTGTCAATTTGACATTTGCAGTTGTGTACAGGTGCTTATCAGTTTCTTTCAAAAATTTCAAGCCTTTGGTTTAGTCTTCTCAGGAATTTTGTTTATTCATTTGTTTGTAAATGTTCTTTCAAAACTTCAGAGAAACAAGGAAAAGTTGAAAATTTGTCGACCACACCAAGCCACTGCACACTTATGGCTGATAGTGTGTAATATTGGCACAACCAATCAGATTACAGCATTTGCACTAGTATAGTAGTAGAATTCTACTAAAATTTATTACAAAAGGGGCAGTTCCTCTTAAGTTTAAAGATCATTATCTTTATTTTTAAATCTAAAATAATTTTCTGTTAAGTTTTACAAGGTTAAAGTGAACCTATACACAGACAGCTCTGTTGATATCATACAAACTTTTAATAATTTTAAAACTAATTTTTAACTATGAAAACACACACATGCATGCAAACAATTTGTTTCTACTGCTCTGCATAAATCATCAACATCATCATTAATATCATCATGTCCTTTTCCCCAACTGGGAAATTGGGTGCTACATAGATTTATTACAAATTAGTTATCATGTTAGACATATTACTGTACATCTCAGTTTCTTTTTTTCTAAAAACTACTGAATAATATCTTTGACATGATCTTATGGAAACATCAAAATTGTAAATTGTAATAATATTATTAAATGTGTGGTTCCCAAGAAAGGTTACTGGAAATTCCAAGGGGGAGGCAAGGGGGGAGGCTTCTCAAGAGCAAAAATTTTAAAAAGAAAGTATGATTCCAGAGGGATCAGGGAACATGAAATCAAACCAAAAAGCAGAGTTCCCATTAACGCACAGGTGTGCATCTTATATGCATAAAAAATGAAAAGAACGCACAGTTTTTTGGCAAAGTGTGTCTTTGGGATGCAGGATGAAAGTTCAAAAATTTTAGTGACAGGCAAAGTAACCTCTGAAAATCAAAACAAACCCTCAACTCATTGAAACTGGGGTTCCCAAGGACCCTTTTACTATCAAAACCAGTGCGAACTCTCAAAAAGCTTTTTTGTGAGATGAAATTTTTTTACAACACAATAGCAAAGGTGTAATTTTTGTAATTTTAATTACAACTTAATTTAAAAATACCTGATGAAGCTTTGCAACTTGAGCTGGAATAGAGTGATCATCATGATGTTTGCGTGTAGTATAACCATGTCCAGGGAGGTCAACAGCTATAAGATGATATGTTTTAGGGAAGACATTTCCCACAAGACTCCAAACTCCTTTATCTCCAGTAAAACCATGAACCATCAAGACCACATTTTCTGCACCCTGGCCATTCCCTCGTTCAATGTAGCTAAATCTGAAATCTCCAACTGATACATACTTCAGGGTGAAACCTCCCCTTAAGATTAAAAACCTGTACGGCAAAACATTGTGGAAATTGTTTGCAAATATTGACAGATTTACATTGACAAAATGTGCATGTGAAGCATAATGGGATAATAATTATTACATTATCAGAAATCACAAATTTATACTGATGCAAGTTAATTTGGGATGTGGTGATGTGAAAGACAAAAAAGGCAGGGTGAGTGTTCAGGCCAGACAGCAAGGGTGGGGTTCGGCTCTCTACATATTTTCTCAATTACGTGACGTGTATAACATAGTAGCTCATAGTGAAAAACTCGCAGCAAGCGGATAAATAACCCACGCTGTACAGTGTTAGAAGAAACATTGAAAATAATTGCAGTAAAAGAGACCTAACAACGTACCATACCATGTGTACGTCTTCTGAACAAAGACGTTTCTTTGCTGCTAGAGAAATCATTGAAAGTAGAACGCATATCGATACAAAACAAAACCTACGCCCGTAAACAGTTAATTTGTCAAACTTCGGAGAAATTTCACGTAATATTAATAGCCGTAATCACTTAAACAAACAAAGAAAAGGTGACGATTTCTACAATTTACTTCATAAACTACACCGTGAGGTCAATATTTCAACGTTTAAAGATGTATTTCCTATTCATACCTGTGTATTAAGTGGCTCAAGACATGAGGGCATGCGAAATATAACACCACACAAGCCGCCCAGACTAGAAAGGTCGCCAGTACGAGAATCGCGACAATTGGGAGAATTATACCCAGCCATAACACCATGGTCACTTAATTTGCAAGTCGTCTGTTCCTACCAAGCAATTCACTAGCTCTCTTTTCCTGTTGGTATATTTTCTTTGGCTACAGTCGATGCAGTAGACGAACAACGAAGCACTTTGCATCAACAACAAATGAGTCCTGGCAAACAACCGCAAAGGCAATTCATTCACGTCTTATGCTTCAATCGTATAAATGGTTTACATCCTATGACAGGAAGGAAGCAGTGATTATAACCGCAGGATCTGAGAAAAAGTATGCCCTCGTTTGCGAGTCAGCTCGCAACACAGTTTCAATTACCCATGGTGCCACACTCAGATGCGCGTTTATGTCACGCACTGTGCTATCGCAGGATAAAGCTGAGGAAGAAAGCCTAAACTAAACTCCCTTCTGCGCAGCAAAGAGGTTATAACGCCAGACTGAGGTATTCTTCACTAGCACTTGTTTTTTTGTCCTGGAAAGATCTGGAAAGCGAAGTTATTCACCTTTATATGCAAAAATGCTCCCCCAGTGGGATAGGGTAGTCCTCATAATGATTGAATATGCGAGGCTCGGAAGCTCCGCTCAAAGGTGCACCTTTTAAGACTGGCGGCATATAAAAGGATGGGGATTTCACGTGCTGTCAGAGTATACAAGAGGGTATGAAAAACTGCTCTAACAAAGGTCTAAAAAAATCGGCGAACAACCAACAGTTGACTCATCCAACTGATCCAAGTGTGTCTGCTGTAGGTGTAGTCGAAGCCGGGAGTCGAAGCTCTCCTTTGAGATCACTCTCGTAACCGATCAGTTCTAGTTACGACCTCCATTTTGAAACCGCGTCTAAATTGTTATTCATATCCTGTAATTAAAAGCTCTCGTAAGTGACCACTTGACCGCAAGCGACCGAGACTACTTTGGGAAATTACTAGACTGCAAAACAGTCGTATTTTTTGCGAACGCGAGCGACGGTCAATATTCGAACGAAAGGTCTGGAGCGAGTGTAAACATAGGCACGCAAGGCGTGCAAGAGTTATTTTTTTCTGTGAAGTTTTGGAGATAGAAACATTCAGACCCGTCCATAACATACCCGACGCGCCGACTAAGAGGTATTTTTTTTTACAAAAAAATAACTCAAAAACGGCAAGGGAGAATGGGGAGAGACAGGCGTGTGAGGCTCGCGCGCTTCACACGCGAGGATCGCGCCTTCCGAAAACGTCCGAAAACGACTGTTTTGCAGTCTAGGAAATTACCAAGTGGTCTTTTCTTTGTTTTTTAACTCACGCAAGCGAGCATTCGAAGATTCTGAAGCATTTTACTACTTGAACTCGTATTGATGCAGCCAGTCCCGAGGGATTCAAATGACAAAAGTGTGATGCTGGATGACAAAAACAAGAGAAAGAAGGTGGATGTCAACATATGTGGGGGCGATTACACAACGTGAAAACCTAGAATTACCATAAAAGGTCATGAAATACAAATATAATTAGGCGCACCAGCTCTAAAAACCTACGAGAGTTTCGACTGCGCAAAACGAATACCTTTTTTGTGGAAGGTATGTGAAAGGGCTATCTTTTCTGTCAGAAATGTTATATTAAAGGATAAGCGTTGGACCTACGGGCGGAGCCTCCCATATATAAGAACCCCTTGGTGAAAAAGAGAACTCTCCAAAGGTGGTATTTAACTCATACGGTAACTGTCACGAAATGGCTAAAATATTCTCAGGCAAAAGGAATGGAGGGAAAATTATGTCCAAATATATTTTTGGCTCTAGAGCGCTCGGGAGACGTGACCGAGAAAACGTCCGACTCCCCCATGGGTGGATCCAGAGTGGAGGAAGCTCGAGAGGGTTGCAGACTTCCTTGCCTTGGGAAACCCTTGTTTTTCTAGCCCTGAAGGAGTATTATCCTAGATCCCCATAGCCTCTTCCTTCTGGAACACCAAACGGGATCCACCCCTTCAAATCCCTGGGACAGCTTCAGGCTGAACAACTAAAGATACAAAAAAATGGATGGTTATCTCGTTAATGTCATGACGGTTTATTTTCAAGAACATGATTAAATGGAAAGCTACCTTTAAACCATATCAATTATTTCCCCGATCACAGTTCTGAA